TTGGAAACCTTCTAATGTGAAGCTACCATCCTCCTTTGTCCATCCTTTGTTTTTCTTCACTTTGTTCCTTCACTCACAGGCTCAGCAGTGTACAACACATCTCTGACTCCTCGCAAACATGGACACCCCACCAACACTCTCCCAGGTCAGCAGCTGAGCCCTCTGTGGTTTTCTGTTTTCTCTAAGTGGTGTTTTTGTTTTGCTAAAGTAAGAGTGTCAGAAAAGAGTGCAGGGCTGCCAGGAAGTGATGTGGCAGGTAACAAAACATAAGCCGACTATAATCTACAGTCAGAAGCACCTCTTTTTCTCTTTCTTACCAATATTTTCTATTTTTTTTATCACTACCTGTATCAGGATTGTGAGAAAAACATATTTGGTTTAAAGGACTAATAAGAGATAAGTCGGGAGGCAAGCTCAGGAAGAGAATGTAATTAAAATGTTGTTATAGATATGGATTTAAGATAAGATAAGTAATATTGTGATCATAGTAGACAAGCTATATATTTTTGAGTTGAGACTGATATGAATTCATTATTAATTGAAGCAGGTATAATCTTCTTAACCTCTCCATGTGTGTTTTGTCTCATTATGTGTGGAATTAATAAATAGGTCAAAAAAATGATTCATTCAGGCGCAACTATACTGAAAATTGAATAGATTTTTGTATGTATGTATTACATTTATTTTTTTACTCATTTGTTTTAGTGACATGCATTTCATTGTGATATTACAGTCTAAAGTGCAGGTAATTGCATACTAGAAAATGTGGCTCAACTAAAACAAATGTTTGGGTTAACAGTGCCCCCTAGTGCCAGCATCAGAAATGCCTTATCATCATAAAGATAAATGTCAGACTTCTTGCTGCACTTGTAATGAAACATGAAGACGACTGTGCGATGAGGATGTTAATTATTTCAGGATTTACTGTGAGGCGAACTTTAACTGTGATGGATCCAATTAAATCCTTTCGTGAATGCCAACTCTCATCTCATCTTTAACAGGGGATGATCCCACTCATAAAGTGGATGACAGCAACACCCGCATCCTGATTGGCTGCCTGGTGGCTATCATAGCCATCCTCCTGACCATCATAGTCATCATCCTGTGGCGGCAGGTGTGGCAGAAGATGCTGGAGAAGGTGAGAAGAAGAGAGGTTTGGTGGAGGAGTGTTATACATGTGAGGGCCCCATGGAGCCACACAGATATCCAATGTAAGCAGACAGCAACCAGCAGCCTCTGATGAAGTAAAGAATAGTTTGCTCAGGTGATCTTGAGAAAACTTCTGCAACTTGACACAGGAAGGATTTATGTATTAAACACCATGTTACCTGATGTTTTCAATTAGGGATTGGACAAGACCTCACAAGACATTACTAGTTTTTATTTGTAGTAATTATTTGCGAATAGTGGGCATTGTTATGTATAATGTGATTCCTAACGGTACTTGGTTCTAGAAAAGAAAAGGTATAAACACTTTAATTGAAGATTGAAACACCATGGTATCTACGATAATTGAAGATTCAAAACAGTACAACCATGGGAGTTTTAACATTGTGTACCGTGAAATTGTAAATGAAACCAATTCCTCCCTGTTTGGACCCATTCTGCATTTCAGTCATTGTGTTCCACCTCTTTTGCTCTCCATGTGGACTGTTTACCAAAGCCTGCTCACCAGAAGACTTCAGCCCCAAAATCTATTTCCTTGCCTGCGAGAAAATGCTGAAAATGTTTGTGTGTGATGTGATTCATGTGGCTCCTATGAGCACCTGTCTTTTTAGAGGTCTCTGCATGGTCCTGCTTCGTAGGCCGAAATATTGCATGAATGAATTTTTGGACGTTTTTAGATATCAGTGCATTGACATCCTCTTCAATGCCACTTTTATCCACGTATGTCACATTGATGTCAACCAACAAACTCGACACGAAAAAAAATTCTATTTGCAGTCTAGCATATCAAGAATAAATAACAGACCTCATCTCTCACATACTTTCTCAGGCATCTCGTCGCATCCTGGACGATGAGCTCACAGCTCGTCTTGCCATCCAGACTCAGGCCTTCTCCTTCCTCCACTCGTCTCTGTCCACCGAGGGCGGCTCCACCTCCAACTCCACCTATGAGAGAATCTTCCCTCTCTGCGCCGACTACCAGGAGCCGTCACGCCTCATCCGAAAGCTGCCGGAGTTCGCTCAGTCCACGGAGCAACCTGGTAAGATGGTAAAAAACATCTTGCACTAAATACAGTGGAGGATTTCTATCATTATAGCTGCTGTGGTGTGTTATTTTTGTGGGCAGGTGGTTCAGACGGTGCCCCCCACTATGCAGAGGCAGACATCATCAGCCTGCAGGAGTCGGCCTCAGACAGCAGCACCTGCTCCATCACTGCTGTCAACATGAATCTCTTCGCTGGTACCGACTCATCCATGAAAGAGTTCCCCAGAGACAAGCTCACCTTCAAGGAGAAACTGGGAGAGGGCCAGTTTGGAGAAGTACACTCAGTTTTGTGGAATAGAAACATTATTGGAAGTGGTTATAAGCTTGATTGGGCTGTTCTCCCTTTTCCATTATTATATTGATGTATCTATCTCTAATTTTTAAACCTGACTGATAGATATTGCTCTGTGGTAAAAGCAGCAGGGTGTGAAATGCAGTCACTAAGCAGTTCACGCTGACACATAGGCAACACTTAGTGGTATTAAACTGAGCAGAAGAGATGGTTCCATCGGAGCCAAGAGGATGATGCACTGACATCATGATGGACTGTTTATATACAGGTGCACTTGTGTGAGGCCGAGGGCATGCAGGAGTTTTTGGGCGAAGATTTTTCTATAGAGGGAAACAATGAGTCACCTCTGCTTGTCGCTGTGAAAACACTGCGGGAAGATGCCAACAAGAACGCAAGGTAAAAACGACTGCTGACAAATTTAAGCTGTATTCTTTCTGCACCATGAATCAGACATGACTCAGTACTTTCCAGTCTCAGTCATGCAGAGGATTACATGTGCTTGTTTGTGCTGCAGGAACGACTTCCTGAAGGAGATCCGGATCATGTCCCGCCTTATGGACCCCAACATTGTGCGTCTGCTGGCGGTGTGTGTGGACACGGACCCTCTGTGCATGATCACTGAGTACATGGAAAACGGAGACCTGAACCAGTTCCTGTGCAGCCTCAGGCTCAAGGAGGCCGCAGACGAAGATAAGGCAGAACAGGAGGGGACGAGCATGGTCAGGTGGGCTCATATCTTAACATCAGTGGTGGGATGAAATAAAGTACATTTACTTTGTTTGTGTACATAAGTACAGTTTTGATGTATCTGTATTTAAGTAGATTTATTGTATGTCCTGTGCCCTCAGCTACAGTAAACTGATTGGGATGGCTGTGCAGATTGCATCTGGCATGAAGTACTTGTCCTCTCTCAACTTTGTCCACCGTGACCTGGCCACACGTAACTGCCTGGTGGGGAAGAACTACACGATAAAAATCGCCGATTTCGGCATGAGCCGGAACCTGTACAGAGGAGACTACTACAGGATCCAGGGCAGGGCTGTCCTGCCCATCCGCTGGATGTCCTGGGAGAGCATCCTGCTGGTGAGGGCTTTGGAGTAAAGTGTGATTTCTGTTGAGAAAAGTATAAATAACCTTTAATGCTGATAACACTGTATCTGTGATCTTTATCACGTGTTCCAGCCAAACACCATCATTGAGTGAAAGTTGTCTTTTTTCTCAGGGTAAGTTCACCATGGCCAGCGATGTGTGGGCGTTTGGTGTGACTCTGTGGGAGATTCTGACTCTGTGTAAGGAGCAGCCATACTCCCAGCTCTCTGACGAGCAGGTCATTGAAAACACAGGCGAGTTCTTCAGGGACAAGGGCAAGCAGGTAAACACCACACAGGTTAAGGTCCCAAATCCTGCAGAGTACAGTTTGTTTATGGTGTCATATTTAGTTGGTCACAAATGAATGTAATCACCCCCTATTCTATCTGCATCTGTATCTCATGCTGCCAAATTTGCAGGAAAATTATACCACATTTGCATTAAAGTTTCCAAATACATTCATATTTTTGCCTCATGCTTCCAGGTTTACCTGCCAAAGCCTCTGTGCTGTCCTGAGAGAGTCTACAGCGATCTGATGCTGAGCTGCTGGAGGAGGAACGCCAAGCAGAGGCCGAGCTTTCAGGAGATGCACGCTCATCTGACCGAGAGTCTGGCGTAGCAGATGGGACGTATAATTCCTCTCCGCCTAGCACTGCGTTGTTTGCTCTCAGTATTTAGGACTCATTTGGAGTCAGACACAACCTGTCAAATGTTTGCATTTAATAAAGGCCTGCTTTCCTCAATGGTGCTGTAAATGAAGAGGCTATACACTTGAATGGAGCGTTTTTGTGTAGATAGTTATAGCAGTATTAACTCGGAGTGTTCACGCCTCTGTGTATTTATTAATTTCTTATATATGTGTATTTATAGAGAACGCCAAAGTAATCCTAGGTTTTTGAATCACAGATGATTTTCAAATGTTTTTTCTTGACATACTGTAAGTACATATATTTCTATTGCACACGTATAAGAGTATGTCAGTACGTCTGTGTGATCTTTTTCACTGTTTCTATTTATGCTTTATTATTTTTTAACATAAACAAATGACACGATATTGACTGTTTTCTGAATCAGGATGTTTTTAACTATGCAGAATCTCTTTGAGATGCTTTATAATCATGTTTACCTCCCTTTACAAGAATAAATTAAGGGTATATTGTTGAACAGAAGCAAAGAACAAAGTTTTTTTAAGCTGTCGAACCAAAGAGCCTTGTAAATAAATAAAAGATCATTAATCACCTCTGGTTGTCATTATTCACTGAGTCATTACTGACGTGCTGCAGGGTTTTCAACGTTTGCGCCCTTCAGTGGGTTGGCCCTCGCTGCTCTCCGTAGTGGAAGCTGATTGGCCAGTTCTTTGCTGACATCCAATCACACCACGTGTAGACTGGAGCATATAGGCTGCCGTGTTTCCACCGGAATCGAACGATGTGCTGACCGCGTCTGCTCACGGACTCGTACCTGCACAGAGAAAGTGTTCAGATCACAGGTTCACACACTGCGATCGTCCACAGCCGAAAACACACACAGACATGCAGAGAGTTGTTGTTGTGACCGGAGCCAACAGGTGAGTTTTACTGAATACACTCGATCTGTGTGTGTGTGTGTCTGTGTGTGTGTGTGTGTGTGTGTGTGTGTGTGTGTGTGTGTGTGTGTGTGTGAGACTGCTATTATCCCTGCAGATTGTATCATCATTAGTATTATGACATTGCTGTTTTCTTGTTGTATCTTTTACTTTGTACTTTGGTCAACCAAGTTGTTTTAAATGTGCTGTATTAAATAGAACTGACATTTACATTGCTATCAAACATACACAACTCAAAACATAAACACAAAAGGGATTAAACACTGAAATATAGAAATCAAAAGACAACAAGTATTGTAAAAGTGAATCGAATTAAAAAGATAATTGCCATTGCTGATATTGGCTGATAAGATTGGTGGTGATTCCTAAGATGTCATTATGAAACTCTTATGACAAAGAAATATGTAAGGCTCAATTATTTGCAGTTTAAATATAAACTTGATTATAAATAACTATAAATAAAAGAAAATACATATATATATATATGTTATAAGGCTCATATTAGCCGATATTATCAGCCAAGTGATATATGGGTCGGGCTTTAGTCTGGACAATACTTGCTCATATTATCATGAAACACAGAGAACCACTTTAATTAATAACACTGAAAACCAAACATTCTTATCTGCAATGATAAAACCTCTCTGCTCTGATATTTGGATATTCTAACAAATAAAATCAAGATTCGTTTGAATTATTTGATATTTAGAAACTGAGATTGCAAATAAATATTTCCAATCTGCCCTCATTATTTGTTTTTCAGTTTCAGAAGTCATGTGTGTTCGGTGTCATTGAGATGATCCCTCTGATCCTCATGTTTGTTTACATGTGAGAATGATAGAGATTGTCTGTCATCTGTTCCTCTCTCTCTCTCGCTCACTCTTTCAATCTCTCCCTCTCTCTGCAGTGGCATCGGCCTGGCGTTGTGCGAGAGGCTGCTGACTGAGGACTGTCAGCTCCGTCTGTGTCTGGCGTGCAGAAACATGCAGCGGGCCGAGGCCGCACGCGACACGCTGCTGACGTCTCACGCCGATGCAAGCGTGGACCTGCTGCACCTGGACGTGGGCTCTGTGGAGTCTGTCCTCGCTGCCGCTCAGGAGGTCAAGGCCAGGTGAGAGACCTTTGGTACACTGACGTAATAACTCTGTTTTGTTTCCATGACACTGCTCCTTGTTCTCTTTTCTCTATGGTTTTAACCACAATGAATATGAAATGAAACGGATTTGTGTTTTTTCTATAGGTACAACAGAATAGACTTTCTGTACCTAAATGCAGGAATTATGCCCAATCCACAAGTGGATGTCAAAGCCTTTTTCAAGGGTCTGTTCTCCACGTAAGTGTCCAAACCCACCTCCTGACATTGCATGACTTGCCCATATACCACTATATTTTGTCATGTTTCTGCTCTTACTGTATGTAATCATTTCCCCTCTCACTACAGGAATGTCGTCAACATGTTTGCAACAGCGGAGGGTCTCTTAACTCAGCAGGATCGTGTCAACTCAGATGGAATGCAGGAAGTTTTTGCCACCAACCTCTTTGGTCATTTTCTTCTGGTACATACCTCAGATGGTTCTGTTAACATTTACACTGTAGCAGTGGAGTCACACAGTATCTGCATATGGACATATTTGTCAAAGTAAAACAGATAGCAGGGTTGACGTTCATAGTACATCAAAGAATTAATAGGATTTACTACACTACTAAAATACTATAGAGAGTACTATACAGTGTTTTCTCATATCTTTTTAAAACCACTTTTCTCTTTGTGTTTATCTGGACCTGTGGCTTGATGTTGTTATTCATTGATTTTCAGATTCATTTCCTTCTCTGTGTTCCAGATCAGGGAGCTGGAGCCTCTGCTGTGTCAGGCAGGACACACGTCCAGAGTAGTGTGGACCTCCTCCAGTAACGCCCGCCGCTCTGCCTTCGTCATTGAGGACATGCAGCACAGAAATGGGACGGAGCCCTACAGCTCCTCTAAGTACGCTTCAGACCTGCTCAGCTTGGCGCTCAGCAAACACAAGAACAGCCAGGTTTGTCTCTCACCAACAAACAGTAGACTGTAGAACTGGAACTGGCTGACTCAACCTGCACACAGTGCTTCCGGCGTCTTTATTTTTAGTGTATGGTTGTATATTTTCATAATTATGTTTCTTGAGGGCCAGAATAATTTGACTTTTGATTGATGTACTGAAAGCCGTCTGAAAAATGTTTGTAATTTAGTTTTTTAATAGAAAATTAAAATTAATTCTAACATTTACTACTTATCCACTTTTGTGTAATCTAAGTCTGTAGCATTTTCCATCTGCATGCCCTATAAGTTCTTTCAAGACAGTCTCCGTTTAGTTTTAGTGCATCAAGAGTAACTTATACAGGACTCACAGGTATGGACTGCATTAACACTGGACCTCGGGTCAGTTTAGTTCCAACTTTAGCTTCATTTATCGTGTTAAAGTAAATTATCACAAACCATATTATATTAAAACTTTAAAAGCACCTGTCATAAAACATGTATCTGATATTAAAGGAAGTATTTTTCTGCTCTGTGTGACAGGGGCTGTACTCCTCTGTGATATGTCCAGGACTGGTGATGACTAATCTGACCTACGGTATCCTGCCCTCGTTCTTCTGGACTCTCATCATGCCCATCATGTGGCTGGTGAGTGATTTCTTTTGATTATCTTTTCATTATTTTTCTAATTGTGACATGTCTGAACAAACATTGAATGTCATATATCTTCCCATTGTGCCGAACAGATCAGGATCTTCACCAACACTTTCACACTCACACCCTGCAATGGAGCAGAGGCACTGGTATGTTGTAGTGTGTAGTTCATATGAGAAAGACTTTGACTGATTCACAATATCGCTACAATAGACACATTATAAACATGGATTTCCTGCTCTGCTCTTTTCCACAGCACTGGCTGTTTCTTCAAAAGCCAGAGTCTCTGGATCCAAGAGCAAAATATCACAGTTTAACATCAGGGCTTGGAAGAAACTACACTCAACCTCGACAGGTGAGTCACATGAGGACATTAGTTCTACAGAGAAAGTCCTCAGACGGTAAAACAAAGAAAGATAATGTGATAAGCTGCCTGAGATACTCTTTTTATTAAGCTCGGTGTGTTTGTGTTCATGTTTCAGATGGACATCGATGATGAGATGTCCGAGGTCCTCTATTCAAAACTTCTTGAATTGGAAATAGAAGTTAGAAGGAAACTCAGTGAGAAAAGCACTGATGGCAAAATCTAACTGTACTTCAATGAGGTAGAGTGAATAAAAGCGCTCTTATTCATTATATATGTGTTTTTATATGTGAATGAAACAACCATACTTCTACTACTTCTCTGTATTTCATGTTGGCTACAGGAGATGAAGCTACTTCTAGTACTTATTGCACTTGGTAAATCCTGTGAAAATTAGTGAAATGACAGTGAAGCAATGAATTAGTCATTTTATGCATCTGCAGCATTGTTTTAGTAAAAAGAAGATTTATTGTGAAAATGGAACCTCTAACATCAGTGCAAATACTCACAACTCCATAAACATACTGTACTTCTCTACAGTCAAACCCGGGGCATTTGTATATATAGTGTATATATAATAGTTGGTAACTTCCACACAAAATGATGTGAAAACTCAGTTTTTAAATAGCTGTTTTATGTCTTATTCAGGCTATTGTCCTAATATTAACATCAGAATATTGGTGTCCATGGAAACACGTCTCATGTAAAGTCTGCCTTTATTCTCCTGTCCCCTGACAGCAATGCTCTGAGGACTTAAAACACTTGAACGCCTACTGTATCTTGACTCAGCATCAAACTGACAGGTCTCATAAGCACAGCTGAAAACACACACGCGCAGTCTCTTCCATCAATGAGCCATTTTCTTTTCTACAAAACTACTCATGACTTCATTAGTATTATTATTTTAATTCATCAATATTCAAAATGTGCATTTTCCTACATCAAGGTAAGTCATTCAAAATTTCCCACCTTTTTAAGTACTTTGAAAAGTATTCATGAACTGACCCGACATGTTTTTAATAAAGACTCTTAACTGCATTTTCTTAACAAACATATTGTTGTCATGTGAGATCAGCAGGAGTCTCATGTGTTGCTGCTGTCCTCTTGTAATGTAGACACCACCACCTGATAGCTGTATCCTGTTTCCTCTAAAACAGACGTCTTTCATTACAAACCGTAATTAGCTGTCTGTCTGGTTTTCCTGAGGTCATCACCTGACCTCCAACACTGACCTCCAACTCCACCATCAGCTGTCATCTGAAGCTCACCACAAATCATTAATGATGATGCACAGAAATGAAACAATCAACCTATTAAAATATAAGACATTGACTTATTCACTAAAGTTTTGTAAGTGTGACTTGTAGCAGTAGTTTTTTAGTGTGGCAGTCTTCTCTGGGCAGGGGAAAGGGAATAGGAATAAGAGGAAAAGAAGGTTATGACACTAATTAAAAACAAAAGCAGAAAATGCATAAGACTCATTAAAAAGTCCAATTACTATAGTTTATATTTTTTTAAATAATAATCTGCTGTCCTCAAACTCAAGGACCAGTGGCTCTCGATTAGTTCTGTGTGTGAGAGAAACAGCTAGGGCTTAAAGACAAATAGTCCATAGAACAGCTTCTAATTTGTCTATATACACCATTAGATACATTTTTAACATTACATCTCTCCTCTGTGATGTCAGCAGTAACTTTTTTATCTGAACTGCATCTCTGAACCCCACTGGATTGTAGTAGTGCAGTGATAATGAACAGAAATATCCTTGCAAAACCAAGGAGAGAAAATATAGATAAATGTGTTCTGCAGGGAATGAAGACTTATGGTATTCATAAAAAAGATATCTTACTAAAGGAACATGAAAAACTGTTCCTTAGCAACAACAACACTGGCTCTTGCCAGCTGCATTATGGAAAAAAGAAAGCCTTTAGCTAGACCATGTTGTGGGTCTGCTCCCGATGATTGAATGTTTCATCTGACTTTGACTAATGTTGCTGATTATGATAATGCATGAGGTCCATCTAGCATCAGCACTATAGTCTAACGTTGTTAGATTGTGTGGTATTAAAATCTTAAGACAATCACCATTAATAATGAGTGACAGTTTGTTTCTCCCTGTCAATCAAAGAGGTACGGCGCTGTCAGCAAAATCAACAACAAGGACACCAAATATGTTTAGAAATATATTTAGCACATCATGACGTATCAGAACCTCACCACTGTCATCTGGTCTGCAGATCAACACAACCATTGAGCTGCAGCTGACAGGTCTGTAAACAGTGTGTCTGTTCACCCATGGCTTTGCTGCGGTTGGGGACAGTAGAAAGGCTTCACTGCCATCTATTGGTAAAACAAAGTAAGATATTCATACCTGTACGTGCCCTGCATAGAATATGTATAGGTAATAACAAGGTAGAGCTATTTGCAGCCAGAGGGAACGAAAAAGATTCCTATTCATAATTCTCTGCTGCATCTGATGCTATTTATTACAGATGATACAAGATGGGACCTACTGAGTCTGAGAGGGAAGGAACAGACACTGAGGTTAAGTCATAATAAAAGCTGTGTTTAAATCTACAGGCTGAGAAGTTTAGAAGTGTACGTTAGCAGGACACCAGGTCATATTTTGTTTTTACTTGTTTGCATCTCAGAGCCAGGCCTCTTCACAATGTGAGTCAGCCAGAGCAGGTGTGTTTTGTCTCTTGAGGTAATTTTATTCATCAGGATTGAACTTCTTCAGTGATGTTTCTGAAGAAGTATTGTCTCTGTGTTCTTCTGTAAGATAATCATGGAACATTTATTGAATTGCATGCATGTTCATTTATGTCATAGCCTGTTGTTTCCTACAGTATCATGTGCTTTATATAAAACAGAGGCTTGTTTCCTGCAGACACAATGTCACATCCACTGGAAGCAG